CTAAGAGAATTTTGTTTTATTTTTGATTTATTTTAGAGTATTTTTCGTGAGGCAAAAATCACGTGCTCATAGGCTACACTAGTCCCTGAGGCACATGATGTACCAGTTCAGGATATCCCCAATGATGGCAGAGGGGGAGATGCTATAGTTGTCGGCCTTGAAAAAACAAAGAATAAAGAGGTTTAAGAGGGCCGTTTCATCAGCCTGGCTGCTTTCACCAGTTTTCGTACATGGTGGCCAGCAACAGTTTCTATTGACAAATTTGGAGAGGTATATCCCAGCCGTTTTGAGATAGTTCAAGGCACGCAAAGGATGGATGTGTTTCACTCAAAGTGTAGTGGATGCCAAAGAGTACCTTGTCCATAAATTCTTTGCCAATGTGGCTCCTATCAAAAAGGGGACAAAGGTAACCAAAGTACGTAACCTAAAGTGAGGTTTGATCAGCATACGTTCAACGTGTACTTCGAATTTGATGATATTGAGCCGAAGGAGTATTTGGAGAAATATGTAAAGGGTGACAAGGTCTGACCTTGGTTAGAGGAGATTTTGGCACCACTGGAGCCACTACCACCATAGATTATTGCTGGGGTCCTATCCACCGGAACACGTTGAGCTTTGAGGCTAAAGGGTGGCAAGCCTTTGTCTGCAGCAGACTAGACCCGAGCCAGAATGAGACTCACCTTCTGATTCCTCGAGCAGTTCTGGTTGCTTCTATTATGGCCGGGTACCCAATCAATGTGGGTGTTGTGATATCGGCCAACATCTCAGTGATCGCTCGGTAAGATGACTCGTCCTACCCGTATCCAGGGGCGGACCTAGCGTATTATCGACGAGTTCAATTGAACCCATAACTTTTGACGTGGAGTAGAAATTTACATGTAAAAATTATTAAAATTACAAAAATAATAGATATGAACCCATAACTTTACAAATATAATTGATTCAATACTAAAAACTTTAAAAGTTGAACACATAGGGATTAAATCCTGGATCCGTCTCTGCCCGTATCCCAACACTATTATAGAATATCTCACCGATGCAAAGGCAGAGCTGAGGGATTATGATATAAAGGTGAAGCCGAATAAACCTTTCACTTGGTACTCATTGATGGATGCGAATAATCCGAATAGTAAAGTTCAGCCTCATACCACCACAGACCAGTCTTATGAGCCAGCCGTGGTAGCTTCTGGGGCAGTTGATGTTCCATCCACTTCAGTCGAGCCTTCGTCTAGTGCTGCAGCCATGCCTCCACCATCGTCTACAGCCCCTACTACAGCTCCTACCACAACTTCTACCTCATCTTTTAGGCCAATGTCGATGCCCAATACTCCACTATCTACACTGCGAGTCTCCCAGTCATTGGTGAATCTCAACAATTGCATGTAGACAGCTACTGCAAATCTGTTTGACTTGTCTAATACTATTGCAGCGCAGTCTACTGCTCAGGCACCTCAATTTCCCCCAACAATTGAAGAGACATTGAAGAAGCTCCTGGAGAACCAGAAGACGATTATGGCTACCTTGGTACAATACGGGTCAGTGATAGAAGAACTGGGAAAGGAAGTAAAGAAGACGAGAAAGTCCCAGGCTATCAAGAAGTCAGTGGATAAGCTCCGAAGAGAGGTGAACAGAATCGTTACAGCCGGAGATCTTCCATTTGACATGTTACTTGACCTGCACCAGATCTTACAGACCCATTTACACCGATAACACCAGTCAGCCAGTCTGAAGAGCCAGACCTTGCTGCCGACTCTACTGGGGTAGTACGTGAGATATTCGCCAACCCAACCACACCTAGAGTCGAGGATGATGAGATCTACTTGGCTGATTTGGAGGGCGATGACATTACTGGGGACACAGAGATGTCCAAAGAGCCATAGGGAGTTTTATTCACCTTTTCCCTCTTTTACTCTTATTTTGCTAAGCATTGGGGACAATACTTATTTTTATTCAGGGGGGCGAGTTTATTTGATACATTCTGATACAATTGGCCATTAATAACTTGATAATATTCTCTTTTTTCTTATTTGTATGTATATATCTTCTCTCTCTCTCATTATGTATATTCATTCTATCTTCAGTAGTTTTTGCTTATGAGCTTCTTTATTTTTGTTTCCATATTAGTTCTTGTTTGATTTAATAGCTTCTTTTTATGTTTTAGCAGATAATAAGCCTTTAGTTTTCTTAATGCTACGGTTCTTTCCAAAGGTAGTTGTTGTATGAACCGAGTGACTCGACCCAATGATGAATGGCGTGAAAACCTTGTTAAGGGAATGAGACCGTTTTTGTGTTTAGATAATAATAGTAGTAGTAATGAATAAAAAGACCTAATTAAGTCATGCTCGAAGAGTCAACCATATTTCATTTGGCACCAACACACTTAACTACGTGTTTATGGTTAGAGACAAGGTTTTTAAAAGAAATAGCTCTATTTAATGACTTTGTGATTCTTGTGTTGACTTTGGTAACCATCAAGTGGTTTAATTGGACCATAGTGATATTTAAACTTGAATGTGATCGTTGTAGGCTCTCGACTCTATCCTCTTGTACAATCTGGTTGCGTGAGGGGCGAGATGAATTGTTGCTAGTCCAAGTATTTGTGCGAAGGGTCTAGAACTTGCCCCGAATGTGTTTCAAGTTGAAATCCTAAGTTTTGCTTGGTTTGAGAAGTGATTGTAGGATCTCCTTGGCATGTTTGAGTTTTCTATTTCCAACCAATGTCATTATCCCTAGTCAACCCCTTTGAACCTCTAGCATTTCTCATTTGATAACCATGTTATAAGTCTTTACCCATTTTGTCGTGAACTCTCTTGGCACCCGAGCTTTCCTTAATACTCTTGTGAAACAAATAACTTAAAACGTAAGTTTGGGGTGGAATGAGGAATTAGAAAAAGATATCAAGGCACAAAAAGAGAAAAGAAATGATCTCCATGAGAAAGGAAGGTAAGAAAAGAAAAGAACAAAAAGAAACATACAAAAAGTGAATAAGTGGAAGGGTTGAATGGATTCAAAAAGAGGTAATGATCCCAAACATTGAGAAATCAAAAAGGGAGAAAAAGAATGAAATGATCAAGAAAGAGTGATGTTAAGTCTCTCTAGTCCCCAATGAAAAGGAAGTGCCTCTAAGAATTGGCAAATGTGAGCCGAGAAATGAAAGATGGAGTGCATAAGGAAAGGTATAATCACTTACATATACGGTATCCTACCCTAACCCAAAAGTCTTCATTACATCCCGAAAGAAGTCCTAATTGATTTCAAACCGAGTGAGCTTACATTAGTGGCGACTTATATGAGGGACAAACCTATGGTACTTGAAGTCGTACTTGTGACATTCTCTTGTGAGAGATGAGTGAGCCTTTCATAAATCTTCGAATTGAGTGATAACTTCTTAAAGTGAGCTTGGCAAATGGAAAGTAGAGGAGGAAGAATTTAGAGTCCACCATGGCCTACATGTTAGAGCAAGAGTCCTTGATGAGTAAAGCCAATTCTTGAAGCTCAAATTTCACAATAGAACTTCATGTGCATGAATGCTTAACTTGTTGCCTTGTTGATAATACATGAGCAGTGTGGGTAATTGTTGGTCCCAACTGATGTGTAAATGGGTCACCTTTGACACGCTGAAATGACCCTTAACTCTTTGAGGTGGGAACTAATTTATTTGCTTGAAGACAAGCAAACACTTAAGTTTGGGGGAGTTGCTTTGACTACTTATTAGCACATTTTTTCTCTTGTCTTAGTCGAAAAGTATCAAATTGTGTTTCCAACACTAATGAAAATATGCAAATTGTAGGAAGGCTGGAAGTTTGGTCTCCCAAGATGAAATCCGGCTCAAAAAGAAGTGTTCCGAATCACAAGGCAATAAAGGACGTAGAAGAAAAGATGTGTGGTCCGCAGAAAAAATTGTGCATCGCAGAATTTCATCTACGGCCGCAACCTAAGCTAAAGAACTTAACAGAAGATTGACAAATGTGCGAACCGCACATGAATTGTGTGGCCTGCACATGAATTGTGCGGCCTGCACATGAATTGTGCGACCGCAAAACAGGGTCTACACTAACAAGTATTTTCAAGATCAGAGAATGTGCAGAAGACCAAGTCATGACGCCTTGCAGAAGTGCGGACCGCACAAGAATTGTGCGGCCGCAGAAGTTGCTTCGCAGCCGCAAACTAGAAATGTGTGGCTGCAGAATCATCCTTCCTGCCAACTGAAGAAATCTGTGGACCACACATGGAATCGTGTTCGTCAACAATTTTTACCCCAATATAAATAGATGAGTTTCACAAAATTAGGTCAAGTTTGAACATTCAAAGTTGTTGTAGCCATTTCTTTTTACCATTTTAGGAAGTTTTAGATTATTTGAGTATTTTAACATTAGATTTCATCATTTTAATCTTTCGTTATGAGTTTAATTAACTTTTTTCCCTGCAATTTTCATTATAAGTAGCTAGATTCTTACTAGGGTTGTGATCCAACCCTAGTGTGTAAACCTTATGGGTAATTAATTTAATGCTTGTTTATGATTGGGTGTTAATTATTTAGCTTAGTTCATGCTTCAATTTTAGAATTAATGGTTGCAAACATTGATTCATGCCCTTTTGACTTAGTCTCTACTTGAGAAAGAGGGACCTAGTCTAGGATAACTTGGCTAACAAGGAATTGGGTTAATTGAGAGATTGATTAGCCTAATTAAAGGGTTCAAACTAGAGATAGCAAGAACCCAACTTGAGCTCCTATCAACTATTTTGTTTGATACTCATTGAACTTGAGAATGCCAAATTGGGCAAAATCACTCTCTGACCGAGAAGTATTGAGTGAGTAATGTAGAGTTGAGAGCTATAATATACCCTAATCAACTAAACAAACATTAACGTTTTTATCCCATTAAACGAACACTTAGGTAATGGTCACATCCCTATGTCTTTAAACTATTTGAAAAAATATCAAAAACATTCATCTCTAGCCTATTTTCCTTACTTTGCAATTATTAGAGTCATAGTAGAAGCAGAAATCAAAACTCTGTTGTGGCAGTGCAATTTTAGATAATTCATTCGCTTGTTTCAATTAGCTATTTTTGAATTTCACTTTCTTATTGCCCAAGAGAAGCCCAATAGTACTATAACATAGGAAGATTCCTTTTCGTGTGCCTTTTCAATTTCTGAGTCAGCAGCGAGTGTTTCTTTTCCCGGAAAATCAACAGCCTGATCTCTCATCCACTCACATTTGCCATCTTCCTACTGCAGGTGCAGGTGGAGTGAACCTTTCAGATTTCAAAACCCTAACACTCCCCTCAGATGGCAGCTCAGACATTGCAGCTCCGACCACTGGGCAACACCGGCCTCAACCTCAGCTCCGTCGGCTTCGGCGCTTCTCCTCTTGGCAAAGTCTTCGGCGATGTCTCCGAACAAGACGCCTTCGCCGCCGTGCGTGAAGCCTTTCGCCTTGGCGTCAATTTCTTTGATACTTCCCCGTACTCAATCTCTCTCCTTCTTCTTCTTTTATTTGTTAACAGATGCAAAGAGATATATCACTCTCACTACATTGGACTCTTTCACACATATAGTTGAATTTATTTTAAAAAAACATACTTTTATATAACGTCGGCATCCACTGTTTGAAACTTACAGAAACACATAGATATAGTTGAAATTGTTTAAAGAAAATATTTTTTTATTTTGCACAATTGATGTTACAAATGAGTAGTGGATGTAGTGCTATTGATTTAAATTTTTGGATCTGATTCTGCACGTTTGAATTTTACAAAGGAGCAGGTATCTCCACATACGCTGATTTAAGATGTTGGTCCGCTTCCTGAATCATTTTGCTGCTGAATTCGAGAATTATCCGTGAACTTCTGAAATTGTTGGTCTTTTACTTAAATTGGTTATCTTCAGGTATTATGGAGGAACATTATCGGAAAAGGTACTAGGGAAGGCTTTGAAGGCTCTTGGAGCGCCTAGAGATGAGTACATTGTGTCAACAAAGTGTGGGAGGTACAAAGAGGGATTTGATTTCAGTGCTGAGAGAGTGACTAAAAGCATTGATGAGAGCTTGGAGAGGCTACAGCTTGATTATGTTGATATTTTGCAATGTCACGATATTGAGTTTGGGTCTCTTGATCAGGTGCTTTATTGATCATTTATGTTTGATTCTTCTCCACGATATTGTAGGAGTCTTCTTTAGCTATTATTTCTCCTAAACACTAATATTAAATTAAAAAAATTATAATTTGTAGGAATAATACTTTTTACAATTTTCCACTATGTAATTATTATTATTAAAAACTGAGGAATCACACTATAATTAAGTGTTTTGATCCTCATACTTTGAATCATTGTTCCTTCATTTCCTTCGAATTGAAAGGGAGTATTAGTTTGTCCCATAGGTTCGTTAGTTGATTTTGGTGACTTTATAAATTGCTTATAATCCTTCCTCAACTTGTTATATTGATTACATATATGTTCTCAGTGTTTGATAAGTCTGGTTTTCAAAATCCTATCTTTCTGTGTGACATTATCCAAAAGGTAGCCTTTGTTTTGAAAGTAAGATTTATAGCCCTCCCTCCCCCGCTTCCCGCCTTGTCACAATTGTTTGTGAAAATATGTAGATTTAGTGGCATTTTTTTGTGTCTTGAACAGATTGTGAATGAGACGCTTCCAGCCCTTCAGAAACTGAAGCAAGCTGGAAAGATCCGTTTCATTGGCATAACCGGCCTTCCATTGGGGATATTCACTTATGTGCTTGATCGGGTACCTCCAGGGACAGTTGATGTTATCCTGTCATATTGTCACTACAGTATCAATGACTCAACTTTGGAGGATCTGTTGCCATACCTGAAGAGCAAGGGTGTGGTAGTGATCAGTGCTTTCCCTCTTGCAATGGGTCTTCTTACTGAGGCTGGAGCTCCAGAGTGGCACCCTGCTTCTTCTGAACTTAAGGTCAATTATTCATTTTTCACTTGACTAACATTATCCCCTATAAGAGCTTGGCATATTTGCTAAAAGTTCCCAGTTTAGATTAGTTACCTTGTACTATCTCTGCATTCTAATCATTTTTTTCCATCTGATCTGCCATTAATTGCAGATTGCTTTGAATGTTTAGTTGTGATACTCGGACTAAAAATTAACTCCTTCAAGATATTGCTTTTTGAAATTAGAACATACAGAAGATCTAGCTCAGAACAAGCAATGGACTTTTAAGTCCATGGACTGCTTCTAAATTATGATGTTAGATGTCTTGTTTTCAACATGTACATGGAATGTATCCACTCTCTCAGAGTTGTTCTTCTCTCCACTCTCCGATGCTTCTTGCTGAATCTTTTCCAAAACAAAACAACATAACACTGAGCTTTTCTTGGTTTTCTTACTAACGCATGTCTTTGCACACTTTTCCTCACCAGGCTGCCTGCCGAGCTGCCGTTGATCATTGCAAAGGAAAGGGAAAGAATATCTCAAAGTTAGCATTGCAATACAGTTTAGCAAATACTGATATTTCATCCGTACTAGTGGGGATGAAGTCCGTTAAAGAGGTTATCTTTTTTCATAGACCTTGATCCTCTACCTCTAATTCTTCATTTTATGACTCGTAGGTCAGCCTATGAACTCGTGTTTTCTTCTTTTCTAGGTTGTGATATTGTATATTACACTTGTCATAAAAAGGAAGGGCTTGCTTCACTTTGTTGCTGAAAGAAAACAAGGAATACGGAACAAAATGATTACTTTATTGACAGATGAGAAATGGATTTACTTTCTTATACAGACTACAAAGTGGAAAAAAATTAGTAGGATTTGGTAGAAAACCATGACGTTTGAACAGAACCATGAGATTTTCTAAGTGAACCGAATTTTGAGCTGGAAGCTCAAGGAACAGAATTTTGCAACTAATGTCCAACACAGTTTATCCGAGTGCTTAGCCCACGCATCCCTTTTGGATGGTTTTATGTTGGTCCTTTTGTGTGTCCACTTACATGTTTGTGTTCAGTGTCCTGATATATCTTTTACATGAAGGTGGAGGAAAATATAGCAGCTGCCCTGGAGCTAGCAACGGCTGGGATGGATGAAGAAACATTATCAGAGATCACAGACATTCTGAAACCAGTGAAGAATCAGTCATGGCCTAGTGGTATCCAACAAAGTTGATTTGTTTGACAGTTCAATGAGCTGTGAAGCAAAAGGTCTTGTGATTACCTTTGTTGGCATGTTTATTTTCTCTTGGACATTTAAAAGTAGTCCAAGCTGAAATTGTATGTTGTATTCGTTGAGCTTTTAAGTATCAAAATAAATAAATAAATAAATAAATAAATAAGATGTTGCATTATTTGAGATGAACATCATACCAATCTCTACTGAAAGAGAGCCTTGAAAGTAGAAGTTTCTCTGTTCCTTCTGATCTGAGTAATAGGCTGTGTTAATGTAGCTGCAACCATGCATGGCAGATCTCATCTATTGCAGGCATTATGAAGTGGAGACTGGAAACTTATAGGGCATAACAGCAGTCCTCTACAGACTCAGACAAGATTTTGAATTTGTGGGAAATTATCTAACGAGGAATAATAGCCTAAAGTAATACTAGCATATAGTCCTTACTCTTCTACTGCTATTCTGGTTTTTGGGATCAAATTTGATCCAAAGACCCTAAATCCAAATTTAGATCGCTCCAAGTGGTAAAAGATTTGGTTGGAGCATCTTAATCTAGTTTTGGAATATTAGTTTGACAGAAGATAAAATCTTGTTTTGTTAGGGTATCAAATTTGATGCAGAAAGACCTAAATGTGGACCGAGTTCGCTCCTCCGAACAAAATATCCTTTGTAAATACTTGAATTTATTATATTTCATATGATGCGTGTATTATTTTATTATATACTGAAATATTGTGATGATCCTAGTCGTTTTATCCTGGTTACAGTTGACAGATATGTGCCTAGTTTATTTTCGAATGATTTAATTTGATAACATATCAATTGTACTCTCCCCGTCCTATAGAGAATGAGCAAATGTAAAATACGAGGATCGATGCACGTTGCTTACAGTATGAATTTGGATGTTATATTCTTTTTTTCCTTTTAGAAAGAGATCAACATATATTTAGAGATTGTAAAACTATTATAAATATAGTTAAATATATTTGAAAAATCCCAGACGATACGTGTTTTCTTTATGAATAGCGAGAGGATCCTGTTTTGACTTTTCATCGCTAAGGACTCATAGATTATGTAGTATAATTACCCTATTTAAGCTTAAATACAAGGCAGTCTAGATTTGAGGTGTTGTACAATTATTATCACAATTATGTTGAATATTCAAATAATGGAAAAAGAATATAACTGCTATACTCGGAAGTAACTAGAAAATGAAATAAAATTACAGTAAAATATCTCCTTGATAATACTAAACTCATTCGTCTTTCACTCCCTCCGTTAATTGTGGAAAATCTTCTCATCACTCGAACATTTGATACATGAAAATGTACAGAGAACAGTATCATTTCAATGCAGCAAGAGTTACGGAATAAAAAATTTCCTATAATACTGTGGGATGATCCTTTTTTTAACAATGTGAATGTAAATATACCTGAGCACCTCGCATTCTTTTAGAAACACTGAAGAGCTCATCTGGAAAATATATGCATCCTTTAGCATCCACAGACCCTTGCTGCTATCTTGCAACGTGCTGCAGAGGTGGCCATGCGATCTCATCATCATTTGTGTAACCATTGATAAGGAAATCAGAGCAATTCTTTCGACATCCATGGTTATAGGGATTCCGGAACCTCCCATCTGGACCACGAAGATACCCATATCTAATAGCATTCGCCATTTCATTGGTTGTAATATTTCGAGCTATCTGCACAGAAGGAAATAGTACATTGCCTCAATTCTCCAATCATTTATTGTGGCACACAGGCAATATTCATAAAGGAAAGCTCCAGTGCATTGACGCCCCAACTAAGATACTGACGACCTGTTGGGATACATCTTCAAGCCATTTCTCATAGAACACTATAGCAAGTTACTAAATCACTCATAAACAGAGGGTAAGCCGACACATTAAACCCTCAGCCACCCAACACCTTTTTTCTCTTTAAAAGCTCTCACAAGAGATAAATTCACGTCAATTAAGTTAGACTCATAAAGGACAAAGACTACCAACACATTCCATATCCAGCACCATAGCATCAAAAACATTGGAAACTGCTTCAATTATGTCAAGAAACTGTCTAAACAATCAATGATCTTATTGAGTATAGCTTCAAATTCACTATTATGAACATTAGAAGACAAGGCAGCTAAACTCAAGCTCATTGGGAAGGCTCGAGTGCTTAATAACCCACCTACAGTTGTTCCGGATGAGAGTTAAAATATTAGTTTCAGAAGCAAGTACACAACTGTTGATATACAACTGGTTCGTTTATACTAACTTGTTTGGGAAATTTCACCCACCTGCAGGGGCATTTGTGGGGGGAGGGGAGGAGGAGGGATTGACCTCTAAAGTGAATCATGAGCAAAGTATCTATAGGCTTCAGTTGCTTAATGACCAAGAAGGACAAGAAAACCAAGGAATCTAATCTATACCTGGGATATCTGTACTACACACAGAGTTACAGCAGCAATCAGAATAACCCCATCCATGAACAGAAAAGTGATTACACCAGGATACGCAAAGACAACATGATGTAACCACGATTCATCGTCTACCAATGATGGTACTGATGTCCAAATTCCTGCAAGAGGTAGTAAGTTTATAGTTGTCTCAAGCAACCCAGTGTCATTTTATAAGTATATGCTACGAGCATCATTCTTAAGACACACAATGCTAAAGATAAAGTGCTTTTAACATACTTTGGACAGCTACTGCAGCACCAATTATAGATGTCAAAGAACCCATGCAAAGGAAAACGAAGAAGTCCCGCTTATTCCTCTGCAAGGTTCAGCAAGAATGACAATGAAATCAATGGTCAAAAGCACAGAATTGAAGAAAAATACTTGCAAAACTCCTACAACTTGGAATATGCAAGAATTCCCGTAATCTGCATTTTGTTAGGAAGTCAGAACAGATGCAAGATAGCCAAAAAAAAAAGGACCAAGAAATCAGATTGATGCGTGAAAAATCTATAAGGGAAGCGTTATTATAGTTATGTAATTGCTGCAAGTTATTATGGTTATGTAATTGCTGCAATCCATAGTTACAGGATTAGAGATTTATATCCCGCAAGTCGCATCAATAATATTAAATTCCATGGCCCAAGAAACTCTTCAGTAGTATTTATCATAGTTTACCGAAAATGTTAGAAAACATAGGAGTGAAAACAGGAATATGAAGTAAAAGAACAAAATACTAACACTCGTTTGTATTGCATCTAACCAGACTTGTAGCCCCAAAGGAAAAAACAAGAGGAAAAACAGGTATACAGTAAAAAAAGAATTAGACAAAATCAATGGCTAGCTGATTATGCAGAGTATGTTCCTCTAGTAGCTTTTAAATGAGGTCATACCTTCCCCACACAATTTGAGACCCAGGGGCAATGATGATCGAATTGTTCAACACAGCGGTTGCAAGTAGGACAGTGTTTTGACCGAACAGGTCGTATGATCTTGCATAAAAATATTCAACAATCAACATCAAGAAATGAATGCATCATCAAAAGGTAGTATATCTTGTAGTTAAAAGACTAGTTTTTTTTGAGAAACCTTGCAGGTGGGACAAAGCTGAGACCAGTTCCCAGACCAACTGGAAGTATTGTTCAAATCAATATTCAACAGTAGATCCTGGAAGAATCAGCTAACATCATTAAGTAAATTAGAAGATATTAAAATCGCTGTTGAATAATCCAAAATGAGAGCGAATACCTGAGCATCAGGTTGACCAACGACCCCCGTCTTGATGTAACCTGGATCTTTACTGCAAATGAGAATGAAACAATCATTTTTAGCTCCATAATGAGGCATGATAAGCCAAGTGCAGGCATACATTTACCAAAAAGAAATACATAAAACAACACGTTTAAGTATAATTTTAACGGCCAAGAATACTGCCACATAAACAAGCCCATTCTTTTGAATCCAATATTGTACAGGACAAACTCCAAAAAATTCTATAAGCAACTTCTAGGGATCATAGTGATATAAAGGGCAAGAAAGAGCGGATTGATTGATTAGATGGTTCATCAATGATAATGGCGAAAAGGAAGGAAACAAGGGAACAGAATATGAAGCTTCTTTAAGAACAAATAAGTCTTCCCCTTATTTAAAAACAAAAAAAAAAATCAGCAATTCTTCTGCTTTATTGAAGTCCAGTTTGGAAAGATTTAATTTTTCCTCCTTTCACAAAGTTATGGTTTTTGGACCACAGAATCACGCAGATTAATTTTTGTGTGTCAGCAAACATGTTAGTTTATTGCAGTTCTATGACTGACTGCTGCCCAGCTTTTCACAGTGCTATTTTCTTCTTCTAGAACATACATAAATTTTGTGCATCATACTAGAGAGTTCGTAGAATTAGGCAAAAGGAAAAGATCAGACTATAAGCAACATTTGCGCTTTACACCAGTATCAAATTGCAACATTTGCCTCGAATTTTCCGTGCCTCATACTCTGAACTGGGGAACCCCTTGTGCACTACCATACTCAGCTTACCTTAATTTTTTGCTTAAATAGAATAAAGCTCACAAAAATTTCCCATTGGCCTAGGATTTGACACAGTTACCCACAAAAACAAAACTATTTACCCTTGTCTCCCCATTTATTTTCCACCCATAAACTAATTACATTTCCTACCAATAGTAGGTTTTGTGGGGAATTTTTTCTTTATTCTACAATTCTTTTTTATTTCTATGCTTCTTTTCTTTTCTTTTTTCTTTTCTCCTTTTCTTTTTTCTCGTTTTCTTCTTATTTATTTCTTTTTTCCTTTTCTAATTTCATTTAACTTCTTTTTTTTATATTCTTTTTCTCTTCATAATCTAATTTCATTTACTGTTTTCACTATTTTTATTATTCTTTTTTTTTATATTATTACTAAAGAAAAATCAAATTGTGTATCAATTAAATGTAGCTAATACAACCAAAAAAATATTAACTAACATATGATACCAGTATAGTATATAGCTATACCAACAGGGTATACAATTGTATGCAAAGAGTTAAAAAAAATTTAATTCAATTATTAAACTGAAATAATTTCAGTTGTCAATAAAAATTTTAAAAAATTCTAAAAGAATTTAATTGTAAGAGTATACCGTTACATTATATAGCATACTATAATATTTTTTTTTTTTTGTATTTTAAATTTGCCCCACGCTGGGTAAACGCTTAAAGCAAATTAAAAGGGAAAA